CCAATCTTCAATTGAATTGAGTTTTTCTCTTGTGGGTATGTCTTGGGAAGTATTTTTAATTTCACTAATAGATAGAGGGCTACTCAGTTTACTAATTCTTTAGTAACACATGGTTTTAGGTCTTTCAAGGAATTTGTCACTTTTATCTAAGTTGTCAAATTAACTGTCATAAAGTTGCTTTTCTTTTTTAAGTTTTTAAAGGTAGAAGGTAAACTCACACTGACTTGAGGCTTTCTTTTTTTCTAATGTAGATGTTTGGGGCTATACATTTTCCCCTAAGTACTGCTTAAGTGACATTCCACAAACTTTTGATATGCTATTTTTTCATTTTCACTAAATTCAAAATACTTTCTAAGTCCTCTTTTAATTTCTTCTTTGATCCATGGGTTACTTACAAGCATCTTAGTTTCCGAATATATGGAGATTTTCCTGCTTTTTCCTGTTTATTTCCATTTAATTCCCTTGCAGATAGAGAACATATTTTTTCACTTGAATCCTTGTAGGTTTATTGAGATTTGTTTTCATACCTCAGAATATGGTCTATCTTGGTAAATGCTCCGTATGTACTTGAGAAAAATGTGTACTCTGTTGTTGCTGTCAAAGTAGTTGGAAAAAAGTTTAGTAGAAATGTGCTGTTACCCTTTGTTTTTTTCCTCTGGCTGCTTTTAAGATTTTCTATTATCATTGGTTTGAAGCAATTACAATGAGCCTTGCTATCATTTTCTTCATGTTTCTTGAATTTGGGTTTTATTAATCTTATAGTTCTCAAAAAACTTAGAAAAACTGCAACTAGTATCAATGCAAAAAGTTTTCGTTTTTTTCTGCTGACTCCCTTTTCAGAACTCCCAAGTACACATATGGTGGGCTGCTTAAAATTGAGCCACAGCTAACTGACAGCTCTTGCTTTTTTCTAATTCATTTTTCTGCTTCATTTTCTATAATTTGTATTGCTATGTCTTCAAACTCACTAATCTTTTTCTTCTGTTTTGATGTCCTTGTCTGCTAATTCTATTATCTGTGTTGTATCTCAGTTTCATTTTCCAACTGCTCTGCAAGTTTTGATTGAATATCACACACTATAAATTTTACACTGTTGGGTCTTGGATAATTTTGTATTCCTAAGATGTTTAAGTTTTGATTTGGGATGCAGTTACTTGGAAACAGGTCTCATTTTTAAGATTTATAAGGCATTTCTGGAGCCATCAATGGCTGTTTCCTACTACTGAGTACTTCTGCATACTCAATATCCTAGAGTTATGAAGTTTTCCAGTCCTGCTGATGAAAAATCACTGTTCTAGCATGAGTAAAGTATTGTTCCCTCAAATGCTCTTGGGTAGTTTCCCCATACACAAGTGCTAATACTTGAGGGGGGCCTTCTTTACATCCCCAGAGATCTTTTTGTAATTCTCTCCTGGTACTTTCTCTGCGAAATCTTCAGCTTCATTTCCTGAAGTATGCTGAAAGTTGCTTGGGAGCCCTTTTCTTGCACTTTTGCCTGGAAATTTCTCAAGACATGGAGCTAGGGCAAATATAGGAAATACTTTATTTCCTGTGTCTCAGGAATCACTGTTCTTCATTATAAAATAACCACTACTTGAAAATCACTATTTCATATCTTTTGTTCAGTTTGGGGTTGTTTAAGGAAGAGGGTAAATCCAATCTCTGTTACTCTATTTTAGCCAGAAGTGGGATTCCTCCAGCCTTGATTTTTATTCACTCTAGAAATGTTTACTGAGTACGTATTATATGTTAGGTGTCTCTGGGATGGGTGATGGTGAAGCAAAGTATATAGTCTTATCTCTTAAGGTCTTTATATTCCAACCATAATAAAAAATAGGCAGATAGATCTGACTCTGATAGCTTCCTAGAACTCATCTTCGTCCTTCTGCTTTCCCTACTCATTCACTGCCTCATAAAGTTCATCTCGTTGTAAGAATTTAACTACCAGTTCTATGTTGCAGACTTCCAAGTCTATAAATCTCCACTGCTTACCTCTTCCTTAAGCTCTCTCTGGGTTATTCCTTTACTGCTCACTTTAGCAAGGTGATCCTGGTATCAGGGGATTAACTAGGTTTTTTTTTTGTGTCCTACATTTAAACAGCAAGAGCCCAATGGATCCTATCACTTAACTAATTTCCAAATCCACTATATACTCTCCATTCTATTTAACCCAATTAGCAAAATTGGAGTACCTATTATACTCTAGGTGTCTTTTTGCCTGCAGTCTTGACTGCTTCTCATTTATCGTGTATGATGCAAAATGAGTGATCTTTCTAAAGAAAAATCTCATTTCATCATCCTTGTGTTTAAAATCTTGAGGAAAGCTTATTGATTTTAGAATAAAATTCAAAGTCCTCACCATGGATTACAAAGCAATGAAGGACACAGTATCAGCCTGTCTCTCAAATTTCAGCTCTGTAATTCTGCTTTCTCATCTGATGTTCCAAGAACTCTTAAAATACTTGCAACTCCCCAAATGTACCATGTTTTCAACTCAAAGTCTTAGTTCTCTCTGCTTAGAATAATCCTATCTCCTTTCTTTCTCTGATTCCTTTGCTCTTTAAGATTCAGCTTAGATAACTCCTTCTCTAGGAAATCTTTCCAAATTCACTTGCCTATTTCAGATATTTGCTTTTACTGGTACTTCTTTGGCTATATATATATGTTCAGAAATCCAACTCAATCTAACTTATTCACAAAAGACAATTACTGTAAAGGTACTGGGGTATTTCAAGGATCCAAGCAAAGGAATGCAAGTAAGCCCAAAGAACTACAGTGAGGGACTAGAGTGCCGTTCAGAATTTTCTCTACATGGTCTTCTTTCATGGAGTACATGTCTTGAGTCCCCTTTATGCATCTTGTCTATTCTCTTTGTGCATCCTCTTCATTCCTCTCTTCTCCGTTGATTATTCTTTTTCATTATTCTAGTTCATATAATGGAAAAGCAGTCACTGTCAGATGAAATTTGTACCTGATATAATCCAGAGATCTGAAAGGAGACTTGTATGTTCTTCTCAAGTTCAGTGGTTAAATATCCTGAAGGGACACCTACTAGCCCTGTTTAGGTCAGTTGCCCACCCTAGGTGAATCATGTGAAGCCCGGAAGCAGGGGCATGCTTTCCTACGGCTGATCCGGCTATTATCACGTGGGCTGAGGGTAGGGATGTAGACACGGCAATTATCCTACATGGGCTTCAGAGAAGACAATCCTATAGGTGGCCACTATTACTTGCGTAGAGCCCTATGAATAGCTGTATCAGAAATTTTTTTGTCTCACATATAATAGCTCTCATGGGCAAAGAATTGTGCCTTTCAATCACATAGGTAACGGGGTAACACATAATTAATAAAGTAATTATTAATTAGCTTCTCAAAAGACCAAAGACTAAAACAAATGACAAAAGCTTACAGGATGTAAGAGAAAAGAACATAAATTAGGAAACAGGAGACTAGTGAGTCTAGGTCTGTCACTACAGACAGGCCAGACGTTTGACTTCTCTATGCTTCAGTTCCCTCCTTTGTCTGCAGAAATTTTTATAGCAGCCCTACCTACCGCAACACATTATTGTGAGATTCAAATGAGAACATGTTTGTGCTGAACAAATATCAGGGAGAGTTAGTATAGCAATCACAAACATGGAAATACAGAATCTGAGAATTAGCATGCCCTCCTAATCAGTGGCAGCTAACCACTGAAAATAGAAAATGATTAAAAGCAATGACAATGAATGTCTATATAACTCAGAATAAAAATTTTCAAATATCAGAAGACTTTTGGATTCCAAAATCTTGAAATACAGAACTTCTAATAAACATGTTTTGCCAGGGGAAAGATAAAATTTTTGTTATAATGTACGTATCATAATATGAGGTTAAAACTCAACATAAAGCAAAACGTATACAGAGACAACCCACTTTTAACTTTAGAATTTACTTTCTTCTAATTTACTTTCTGCCTTATGAAGCTATTATCTGTATTTTATATGATTAAAAAGCCTTATGATTAATGTGTTTTAAAATAGTTATAAGAAGTAGGCTATAGCAAAGAATTATTCAAGACATGCTAGGTATAAGACCAAATGAGAAAATATGTGTAAAAATACACTATAAGTGGCAGGGTATCTAAATGACTATGTGATGAGAAAGACTGCTGGATGCACTGATCTTTAGCAGTAGAGGTCCAGAGGCTTAGTACAAAGTGGGAAGTAGAGTGTAGAGAGTCTTAAAAGAGAGCTGATAGAGATGGTCATAACTCAATAAAAATCATTTGAAAATGATAAAGACCAATGGCATTATCTTACTGTTTTTTGTTTGTTTTTGGTGTGTCTTCATGCTGTATGAAATGAAAGAAGACAAAATGGATTCTAAGTATAATTTCTATTGCTTCTCCCAGAATCCTCACCAATTTTTCTAAAAATACACCTTAGTGTATTTTTAGCATTTGCTTTTGATGATGTTAGAAAGGTTCAGGTCTTTTTGCCACAAGAAACAGGCTGGAATGATGTCCTACAAAGGCTTTAGGCACAAAGCCAGCTAGAGTTTAGAGTTAGGGAATGAGTCCTGAACACAAAAATAGTTTTAGGATAAATTAGAAAACTCAAATAACAACCAATGATCAAGAAATGCCTATATTAATTTAATTTTTACTTTATCTTCTTTTGATCTAAAAAGCAGAATAAACCAGAAGTAAATGATAATCCTTTCCCAGCTGGCACACCCACAGGAAAACTGTGCATCTGAATCCTAAGGGGACAGTGAACACCTGAAGGCTGAACACTCTTAACCGAAGGTTACAAGCTTATGTCAGGCAAACTCATACCAACGAACTGAAAAGAAAAGATTTAAGGATGAGGAACATAAGTTAGATATACAGCTGATGCCAAAAATTAGCTGCATGAAGTTTGAGATTTTTAAACATAGCTAAATTTGCTGTTATTTATACATAACTAAAATATTAGTTGAAACTGATCAACATTAATTTTCTTCCCCTTTTAACTCACCTGTAAAATTCTTTGCAAGATTGAAGGAAGGGCAATAAATGCTGCCATGCTGTTCAGAACTTGCATGGTCAAAGATTTTAGGGCTGTGATAATAAAATATTAATATTAAGGTTAGTTTGAAAATAAGAGTTCTCAGTTTTAAAGTTAGGGGAAAATAATGGAATTATACAGTTTCTTAGAAATGTAGCCAACCTTTGTTAAGTTGCAAAGGCTACAACTATTTAAGATAAATTATAGAAGTTTCTAAGACAACTATTACTCACAATAATTTAAATAAATGGCACAACAGAGAGAATTAAAACTGAAAGATGACATTGACACTACAATATGGTTTTATTAAGGAAAATATTAAAATAAGATACTGAGAGAAGATACCATAATTATGGTTTTTACAGATAACAATGAGACTGATGACATAGGTGACACAGTTGTGATGAACTTACCTTCTGCGTGTAGATGAGGTACAGCTGAACTGGACAGCTTCTGAGGAGCCATCATTGCCTCCAATAGTGGAAACCACAGTGCCTACGATGTCAGAGGAAATAAAAGAAAAACAAAAGTGCTCTGTTATTTTGAAGAATAATGAACATCAGCAGAGTGTTTTACGGGGTGAAACGTACCTCTCACAACTATAACTTGGACTTTACCTTACAAAGGCAAACAGTGCAACCTAATTGTACATACCCGCATTATTAATCTGGGAGTGGGGGAAGAAACATACTTCTCACTTATATTTGTCAGTAGAAATTAGAAAAAGGAAACATTTGACTGGGAAAGGAAAAGACAATAAAAGCAGAGACCGTAGCTAGAACAGATACCTTATCATGGAGCCTTGGGAAACAGAAAGAGGCCCAGTTAAATCTAAACCTTGGGACTGTAATCTTGAGTCTCAGGAAAGGGTAGGTTCAAAGATGCCAGGGACAAGCTTCCTGTTAGGTTCTTATCTACTCTGGTATAAACAAAGTTTAAAATAACCCTATGTGCTGTAGAAAGAAATAATCAACTCCCATGATAACAGGCTCCACACTCTATTTTTCTTTATCTATGTCAACCAAGAGAAATGAGTATAGGTTACCTAAAGTTTTTTCATATCAAGCACTGTTTTATATTTCCTAAGTCATCACAGACCAGGAAATGGAGGTTACATCTCAATTAATGTTACCCCCATGTCATTTATTTATATCCATTATGTTAAATAATACATCAAATAACTATATTAAATTCCTTACATGTTTTTAAAAAACAATCTTATAATAACTTTATACTGTAGGTATGATCTTCACTTAAGACAGGAAATTGATTACTGAAGAGAATATATTTTTGCTCAGTGCCTATGGCTCAGCAGCTAGGGCACCAGCCATATACCCCAGAGCTGGTGGTTTGGAACCTTGCCTGGGCCTGCCAAAAAACAATGACAAATACAACAACAACAACAAAAATAGCCAGGCATTGTGGCAGGTGCCTGTAGTCCCAGCTACATAGGAGGCTGCGGCAAGAGAATCGCTTAAGCCCAAGAATTAGAGGTTGCTGTAAGCTGTAACACCATGGCACTCTACCAAGGGTGACATAGTGAGACTGTCTCAAAAAAAAAAAAGAGAGTATATTTTAACATTTCAAACATGTTTTCTTGATGGATAATGATTTACAAATGCTCTACCCCAGTACCTTGGGAGGAACCTATTGCTGAAACATCCAGAAGACAGGAAGAAAAGTCAATTTGACAACTCAGGACAAGAGGAGCTATTTACAGACAGGACAAGTTCCGTAGCCCCCACCCAATAGTGCAGAACTGACCTGGCAATGAAGACATATATGGGAGTGGTTTAAGGCAAAGCAGACAAGGCTAAGAGTCCAACAGACCTCTCCCTACTTGGTGAATAAACTGCCACTCAGGGGCTCTACTAAGAAGGTTTTATCCGCCCCAAACTGAGGTTAAAGGATTTTATGTTATCCTGTTAATATTTCATGTATCTCTTTAAATTCTTCAGATACATGTTTTTTGTTTTTTATTGTTGGGGATTCATTAAGGATACAAGAAAGCAGGTTACACTGATTGCATTTGTTAGGAAGTCCCTCTTACAATTATGCCTCACCCCCAAAAGGTATGTCCCACACCAAGACCCCCATCCCCTCCCTCCTTCCCTCTCTCTGCTCTTCCTTTCCCCCACCCTCTCCCTCCTTCTCTCTCTCTCTGCTCTCCCCTTCCCTCACCCACAACTATGTCATTAATTGTCCTCATGTCTAAGTTGAATATACAGGATTCATGCTTCTCCATTCTTGTGATGCTTTACTAAGAATAATGTGTTCCACTTCCATCCAGGTTAATACAAAGGCTGTAAAGTCTCCATTTTTTTAATGGCTGAATAGTATTCTATTGTATACATATACCACAGCTAGTTAATCCATTCCTGGGTTGGGGGACATTTAGGCTGTTTCTGCATTTTGGCGATTGTAAATTGAGCTGTGATATACAGTCTAGTGCAAGTGTCCTTATGATAAAAGGATTTTTTTCCTTCTGGGTAGATGCCCAGAAATGGGATTGCAGTATCAAATGGGAGGTCTAGCTTGAGTTCTTTGAGGTTTCTCCATACTTCCTTCCAAAAAGGTTGTATTAGTTTGCAGTCCTACCAGCAGTGTAAAAGTGTTCCCTTCTCTCCACATCTGTGCCAGCAAGAAATGTAAATCAAAAACCACCCTGAGATATCATCTAACCCCAGTGAGAATGGCCCACATCACAAAATATCAGACACCTGTTATAACTTTTAAATACTGGTAATTATTTTGTTGAAATTTTTATTTATTTTATTTAGTACTAATGAACTTTTAATCTTGTACTTTATTTTTAGATGGTGTAGAGTTCCCTCATATATCCTCAACCTTTTCTCTTGTTCTGATTGAGAAATAGTGCCTTGCCTGCTCTGTGACCCAGCCAGCCACAACTGTTGGGACTTCAACACCCTACTCCCAGTATTAGATCATCTAGCCACAAAATCAACAAAGAAACACTGGATTTTAACTGCAGTTTAGACCTAAATGACATTTTCAGAACATTTCATCCAAGAGCTGTAGAAGACACGTTCTTCTCATCAGGGCACAGAGCATTCTCCAGGGTAAATCACACATCAGGCCAAAGATAAGTTTCAACAAATTTACAAAAACTGAAATCATATGAAGTGTCTTCTCAGATCACAATGGAATACAACTAGAAATCAGTAACAAAGAGTAACTCTAGAAACTGTGCAAATATTAATACATGGAAATTAACAAATGGAAATACAACAAGAGCAGTGAGTGCTAAGAAGGAATTTTAGAGCAATAAACCCCTACATCAAAAAAGTAGAAACATTTCAAATAAACAACCTAATAATGTGCCTCAAGGAACTAACAAAGCAAGAACCAAACCCCAAATTAGTAAAAGGAAATAAACAATATTAGAGCAGAACACAACAAAATAGAGGCTAAAAAAAAATACAATGAAAAGGATCAAAGAAAGAAAAGGTTGGTTTATTGAAAAGATAAAACAAAACTGAGAACAGGCATGGTTGCTCACTCCTATAATTCCTGCACTTTGAGAATTGCTATAGGCCAGGACTTTGAGACCAGCCTGGGAAACAAAAACTGAGACCCCATCTCTATAAAAAATAATAAAAATTAGCCAGGCATTGTGGTGCCTGCCTGTAGTACTAGCTACTGGGGAGGGAAATGGGACAATTGTTTGAGCCCAGAATTCAGGGTTACAGTAAGTTGTGATGGAACCACTGCACTCTAGCCTGAGCAATAGAGTAAGAGTTTGTTTCCATAAAAAACAAAACAAAACAAAATGGATAAACTACTAGTTAGACTAACAAAGAATGAAAAGGGAGACAACTGATACAACAGAAATATGAAGCATCATGAGAGACTCTTATGAACAATTATACACTAAAAATTGGCATACCTAGAGGAAATGGATAAATTCTTGGACACATACAACCAAGGGAATTAGGGAAAACTAAAAAATCTGAATAGACAAAAAATATACAACACATACAACATTCCCTACCAAGGGAATTAGGGAAAACTAGAAAATCTGAAAAGACAAAAAATACACAATGAGGTTGAACTCATAAAGTTCCCTGAGAAAGAAAAGCCCAGGACCGGATGGCTTTACTGATGAATTCTACTAAACTTTTAAGGAACAGCTAATCAATTCTTTTCAAACTATTACAAAAAAGTTAAAGAGAATGGAATTCCTCCTGACTTATTTTACAAAGCCAGCATTACGTAACAGATAAGGACATACACACACACACAAAAAAAAACTGTAGGCCAGTATTCCTGATGAACATACATGCAAAAATACTCAACAAAATACTAGCAAACCAAATCTAGCAAATCAAAAAAATATATATATAACTGATTCTTGAACAATTTGGGTTTCACCTACACCTACATGGGTCCACTTTTTACACAGTTTTCTTCTGCTTCTGTCGCCCTTGAAACACCAAGATCAACCTGTCTTCTCTCCTCCTCTTTGGCCTACCCAACATGAAGATCTAAGTTAGATGAGTACTTTTATGATGATCCACTTACATTTAATAAATAAGAAATACACTTTTTCTTCTTTATGGTTTCTTAATAAATAAACCACCTTACTTTATTATAAGAATATAGTAATAATACATATAATATATAAAATATGTGTTACTAGACTGTTTCTGTTATCAGTAGGACTTCCAGTCAACAATAGGATATTACTAGTTAAAATTTTGGAGAAGTCAAGAGTTACATGCAAATTTTTGATTACATAGACGGTTAGCACCCTTAAACTCTCATTTGAGAGTTCAACTGTAATAAACGCACATTTTTGATTACATTGACGGTTAGTACATCTAACTCTCACATTGTTCTAGGGCCAACTGTAATACACCATGATAAAGCAGGATTTATCCTAGGATGCAAGAATGGTTCAACATATACAAATCAATGTGGTATACCACATTAATGGAATGAAGAACAAATACCATACGGTCATCTCAAAAGACAGAAAAGACATGTGATAAAATTCAGCATTCTTAATGATAAAAACTCTCAACAAATTAGGTATAGAGGAAATATACATTAACATAACAAAGGTCATATATGACAAGCCCACAGCCAACATCATATTGAACAGGGAAAAGCTAACTTTTCCTCTAAAAACTGAAACAAGACAAGGATGTCCACTTTATCACTTTTATTCAACTCTTACTCAATGGAAAGGCCTAGTCAAAGCAATTGAGCAAAAGAAAGAAATGAAAGGCATTCAAACTGAAGAGAAGTCAGATTGTCCTTCTTTATAAATGCTGTGATTTTTATATTCAGAAAATCCTAAAGACTCCACTGAAAAGCTCTTAGAGCTAATAAATGAATTCAGTAAAGGTACAGGATATAAAATCAACATAAAAAAATCAGTAACCTTTCTCTGGGCTAGCCAAGAAAGAATCAGGAAAGTAATCTCATTTATAACAGCTACAAGAAATTTAAAATACCTAAGAATAAATTTA